AATTTTAAGTGTTAATCATTACTAGATAACTAGGTTATCATGTACTTTATATTGTACCGTAAATTAAGATTAGAACTAATTTATGGTATAATAGACTAAATCATATTAGAGGACACGTGAAGGCTCCCCATGGGCGGCCTCCTTAGTATATGTAATAAGGTATTTGTCCATCTATAAGTATGGTCTTGTGGGTAAAATCACTAAAAAGTCATTTGCAATGCTATAAGCACCTCAATTGCAATTTTTCCACTCCGTTATATGCAGACCAATATTTATGAAGGTACAAAGTGGAACGCCTAAATTCCTCATTTTTAAAAAGAAACTCTATAAACAATCATGTGTAGCTGATTTCGCTCATAAATGAGTGCTTGAAATAGTTTCAAGTGCTAAATTAGAAAGGTGGGTAATCAGTTACACAAAAGTATTAGGGTTTGAACACTAATAGTGAGAGTATTTATCTTGAAAATTCAAGAAATTATGTCAAGAGAAAGGAAAAGTCATACGGTTGACAATATGCTATATTCTGCTACAAATGATGTTGCAGAAATGATGAATATAACTCTTATAGATATGATTCAAAATAGCTGCCTATTTGATTTCGGGGAGATGTGTTATTAATGGCGACATATATTGAACCGAGTACCTTCGAGATCAATAGAGTCGATACTCTATGAATCATGGACGGCCGAGGGCCTGTGTTGGATCACCACATCCATGTGGGAGTGTTTCTTTCACACACTACTTCACTGCATGAGAAGTTTAGATCCCAAAATGTTGAAGTATACTTCCACACTATTTTAGACTTTGTGATTTTGTTTACATGTGAGCAGTACGATGACATTGTCACCGAGAGACTTGTGATATATTGAGTTCCTCAGGGTGGATACCAGTACAAAGAAGAAATAGGTCAAGATTTTTACTCATACGAGATCGAGGAGACAGTCATGGATACAACAACGAAAGAGGAATTGATTCCTCTTACCAACTAAAGACAATGGGAGCGAGATAATTTTTAGAAGACTTGGACCCATCTATGGAATCTCAACTAGCTCAGAGGTCATTTCATGGATTAATACCAAGACGATATTTTTGAGACCGACGGAGAAACGTTCATAGAAGCACCGCATATTTTTGCGGAGTCCAAGTCATGTAAAGATATTATTTCTAGGACTGCAGCAAAAAAGTGAAAAACAACAATGAACGGGGAGCTTGAATTCATAAGGAAGAATTAAGTCTGGGACTTGGTAAATCTTCCAATTGAATGTGAAACTACTAAAAACAAATGGGCTTTAAAGGTCAAGCCAGATGGGAAGCTCAAGTGATGCAAGACACACTTGATGGCGAAAGAGTACTCCCAGGTAGTAGGGTGGACTACCAGAAGAGACTTTCTTTAGTGATAAGGATTAGCCCTATTCCCATGATATCGACTCCTATTGCGGAAATGGATCTTGAACTACTCAAGATGGACATCGAGACAGCTTTTATCTATAAAAAACTGGAAAAAGTGATCCATATGAATCAACTTATGTTTCGTAGACAAGGGACTTGAGCATAAAATGTACAAGTTAAAGGATCCTACCTATGGCTTAAAATATTTTTCCAATGTAGTGTTTTTTATCCTATTAGACTGTGCAAGATCTTAGTTTCTAGAAGATCAATCAGGACTGTTAGGCCCACCTACACTAAGCTGATATAAGTTTGAGATCTGTTATTATATAGTGATGGCATATTGCTGACCGGGTGTAGCATAGAGATCATTGGGGATACCATTGCTAAGAGTCAAGCTTTAAGTAGAAAACAATGTCCCGACATCAAAGCATAGAAGAAGCTAATTTTAAGCATCCATTCAAGGAGTGTAGTCGATTGTCTTGTACGTGTACAATAATCGATACATCTTTTGCAGTAGGATAGATGAGTAGGCATCGGTCTAATCCTGGTATGAGTCACCAGAGTAACTCAAGTGTATTCTCAAATATTTGATTCAGAGTGCACCTTATGTACTATGCTATGACTGCACCTTATGTACTATGCTATGACAACACGAACTCACCTATAGAGATCTTCAAATGTCGACTAGGCTAACAACCTAAATGGGCGAGCGTTAATGTCTGGTTATGTTCTCTTACTGAATAACGAGGTCATTTCTTATAATAAGAAGCAACAATGTATAGTCCTTGTCCACTTGGAGATGATATGTGGTGATATACAAAGTAGTATTTGACAGTCTAGTTATACAGATTCTTGGATAATTTGACTATAGCACAACATGTAGAGGATGGTGTGATTCTCTATCTTGATAGCACATCGACTACTGGTCATACAATAGGCCCAAATTAGTTTGGAAGTCGAATAAAATTGTATTCCTGTGAGTCGGTTAATCGAGGATCTACTAATAAAGGGAATAGCTGAGGAGCAGGTGCAACACACTTGAGCGTTATGGGCTACATCTTTTATGTTAATTAAGACCTCAAACACTGGATATTACGGATGACAGCTTTATAAGACATTATATTTGTTTTTTTATATATTGCATATCTAGGATTGCTAGTCTTATTATTGTTTGATTAATTTAGCATGGAGTATATTAGTATATAATGTGTACAGGGTACACTAGAGGACATTGGGTGCACTATTAGAAAGTTACACCAGCAAGTAGAAGCTCTTATCACATAAGAGATCCCCTTCGGTTGTTGTAGTTGCCAAAGCTAAGACCGAGTATCAGATATCATTTAGCTTGGAGCAATGACTACACTATCGTGTTACTAGGTAGGACGATAGCGGGAGCACTCTATTGGTCTCCCTGCTCTCGATCAAAATGAGGTTGTTGTATACTATATGTCGAAGCAACCCAAGTAGGAACCCCACATCCACTTTACATGTTTACTATCAGCCAAACTAGGGGCCTAACTTGGGACATGAGGTGCAGGCTTGTCGAAAAATCCTATACATATCACAGGGCAATAATGGTCGGACAAGTTCATTACAGGGTAATGAAAGTTGGATCTGTACCGTACGCATTTAGTGATGTATGATCTTAGGGAGAGAAGTAATATCATAGCACGTTGCCATATGTGTGCCTGGACTGAATATAAGGAGGTCGAGAAATGGATCCCTGCTCCCTCATTGTGTAAACCCTTATAAACAACCACCAGTAATGAAGGACAATCATTGTACCCTAGAGACACTGAGCTATCTAGAAAGGCTGTTATAAGCATCCGCTACTGTGGTTGCTATTTCCTACTGTGATGAGACAATACCACGCATATGGGGTAGTGTCAGGAAAGCACGTGATTAACACACAACTATTCAAGGCTAGAAAAAGATCAATTAATGTCTCTTGATTGCATCGCATGCGCAGCTTTCTTACACGATGGGCAAATTTTAAGAGTGAAATGAATAGAGTGCAGACCTCGGTGTTCATGTTTGCTTCTCCGAGGTATCGAATGTACTTGAACAGACATAATTGATCAGATCTGGAAACGAGATATCACATACTTACACTTTTACGTATTTGTGTTTCTTCAGGGAGATCATTGTGTTGGTCCTAACAAATCTGGCTGCAAGGCTATCCGCTTATAGTTTCTCAACTGTCCACGCCGTACTAATGATGTATGGACACAATATTGATAAGGATGGAGAATCTCAGGGATATTTTGACTCAGGGAGTAAACGGCTCAAGGAGTCAACTCAGGGAGAGATGGCATCAACTCATTTGTGCGAGTGGGAGTATGCTAGTAATTGGTGTCTGCCCAATTAAATTGGTGGATCCTAATCCTAAGTGGGCTCAAATCGGTCATTTAGTGAACATGTTCCTAATCCTAAAGGGTTAGGGCTTTGTCCTCTATATATATGCACTTATATAAAAATTAACAAGAGATAAAAATATACTAATGTCATCTCCTTGCTCTTCATCAATTCTGTGATTTATACGTTAGTCACGGGGTGATATCCGAGGGCTTCTCACCAGTGTCGTCGTCCACCGGCCATTGTCCGAAGATTAACATTAGATGCGTAATGATCCTTCCAAAAGGTCCCAGAAAGGTAATCTCTAAACAAGAGATTTATGTATTCGTATGTATTTATGTTTAGTTTATGCTTTTCATAGAATTGTTCATCTCTTCTTCTTTTTCACCAAACCGCAACCTCCAACCACTCCCTCTCTCAAACCAGAAAACAATTTGACAATCCCAGTTCAACAGAATCAATGTCACTTCCACCTCCCCCCTTCAACAGAACCAATGCCACTTCCACCTTCCCTCTCCGAAAAAGCAAAAACAATAACGAAAAGGACAAAAAAACAAAAAGAAAACGGTCGCCCTAGCTCAAGATTCAATAGTGTTTTCAGTCCTTTACTGCCATCCTCCATTAAACCAATCCTTGTAACCCTGAAAAGTGCACTTTAACTATCCTTCTTCATTGAGAATTGACCTCCTACAAGACCTGAAATTTTTTTAGCAAATTAACAAAAAACAACCTTTACAACGATGCTCTTAGGTTCAGGTATCTCCTCAACTCTTTGATTTACTTCTTACTTGTAGAAATTAGTTATGTTTTCTTAACTACGATAATTACCTTATACATGATTTCCTATGTATCATGTGTGATCCTTATGCATCTCAACATATTGCATGGAAAGTCATAGGAAATCATGAGTACAAGATATAGTTTAGAGTTTTTTACAAACTTGTCTGCTTATTGGATATATTCATCATCATCAGTATTGTGATTTGTCTGCATTCATGAATCTGTTAAAACCTATAACATACACAACTACCTACAGATCATGTCTGATCATTATTCCTGTCAATAGTTTTGCATATTATTCCATAGAAACAGACTCCTAGGAAATCATGAGTGCACTCATATATAGTTAAGGTTCTTTGTGAACTGGCCTGCTGTTTGCATTTATGAATCTACTGCATCATTGTTCTATCAAAAAATATGGGGGGGGAACATTGAGAAAGGATGCAAGAGAAGGAGAGGAATACGGAAGTGTAAACCTGAAATATATTCCAAACAAGCAGCAGTGACTGGGCATCCTTCCAAGTTCAGCAGAGCAAGCTTAGATAAACCTGTATGCAAGCAATGGGTTAATGAGCAGACAAATTAGTATGGGAAAAAGAACATGAGAAAATGAGACATCAAAATAGATATGCAGAGATTATTAGAGTGAGATGCAGTTTCTTGAGTATTTACCATTAAGATGAGCAATACCGGCATCTGTAACTCTACAACAAGACATTTGCAACTCTTTCAAGTTTGTAAGCCCTAAAGAAAGTGAAAAATGTTATTTCTCAGGAATTCTCAAGTAAACAAAAAATATGTAGCTTATGACTCCACGAGAAAACAAACTTACTACTTTATAAAATAAAAAAAGTTCTCTCAAGATATTAGTCCCATCAAATTCCATTATTGGATATCAGCCCTCACATATTGATACTCAGATACATGTACCTTACAGGACACAAAAAATCCATTATTACCAGCTAGTTGGCAGGATTTCACCCTTAGGACATCTTTCACCTCCTGCCAAAAGTAATTTCTATTCCATTATTTTATTTGACTGAATCCAAATATCTCCTCATCTTCCTTTCACCTCTATTCCAGTTTTTTATTGTTTCCTTATATTTATCCTTCAGCCTTCACCAATAAAATTTTCCTTTCATCTGATTAAACACAACCTGAAAGTCAGGAAGCATGGATAAGGTTGATCTTATTCAAACTATCACCATCTTTCAATCTTTAATCATCTCCACCCAGAATCTCAAGCTTCTCCCTCTTCAACTACTAGTAGGTTCTTAAGAGTCAATAATAGCCACACAGGGATAAACCTCGTGCCCTTTTCTTCCTCCCTCTCTAATGAATCGGCGGAGTGTTAAATGAACAAGCTCCAGGTAGGATATAATAATGCCCTTCATTATATACAGTAACGTCCTTGTACACTACATCCAATGGTTGGGGAGTGGAGTATTTAATGAAGTCTAGTCTTTTGACTTTAATTATGATTAGCTTGTGTCCTGCATTCGAAATGCTAACTCAAAGATAAGCCCCTTACAGCTTTCTATGTAACTGGAGGACATCAAAATAGAAACTACACTCCAGATTCCCTATTCTCGGAGAACAACACCCTCGTAGCACATCTCTAGCAAACTTTAGCATCCCATACTAGGGTTCTTTATTACAGATCAGCACTGGCTATTCATTTAAGGATCAGGTTCCCTCTGATGTAATGGAGAAGATCTAACTTATATCATAAATGTTTTTGATCTCTGATGTAACGCAGAAGATCAGAAAACTAAGGATGTACCAATACCATGACTTGCATGTTGAATAATGAAGTCATTTAACAATTTAAAAGTGATTTTGACAAAAATAAGAATCAACCATATAGCACATAAAGACAAATAAAAATGTCAAAAAAGAGGGCTGCAAATGTTATAACAGTCGTGAGGATGAGTGCTCAGATTCCCCTTACAACTAAATATATGGATAATCATATTCTTGTCTGAAACTATTCCTAGATGTACCCTAAAATGGAAAATGCATAATAGTACAATTTGTAAAATGAGTATCATGGAACTGAAAGGAAAAGCGGATGACCTACCTGACAGAGGTTTTAGGTCTGCATCTCTTACGGAATTGCAGTATCTTATATTAAGAGTCTCAAGTTTGCTTAAATCTGCTCAAAGAAAAAGAAAGTATGAGATAACTGAATATATATGATAAAGAAACTAGGCACATGCTTCTTGGTTATTATCTGGTTGGAGTTTTGCTTGGCTCCAACTAAGAGAAGAATTAAAAAGAAGGTTCAAGGTTAAGACTCCTATTTTTAGTTGTAACAACACGGGAATTCAAATGTTGCAGATTTCTGCTACTCCATGATCACAACATTAACTAATAATGAATAGATCACCATATATCTAATAGCAACAAAGCAGTTTACATCAACATTCCGCAAGCAAGAATTGATTTCAAAATGCCATATTATCATTACAATTGTGCCTTGGTGTCAGCTATCGAGTTCTACTCCATATTGAGAAGGCTCCACATAAGTTTTCACTACCGTTCAAAAACCAGACATCAAAAAATGTTAATCCACTGAGGGGCTCTTTGGTTGGGTGGAAATAGGTGGAAACCACTTTCTAGAAGTGGTTTCAATTTTTTATCCACTTTCTAGAAGTGGTTTCTTTTTCCTTTTCTCCCCTTCTTTTTCCCATTTGGTTAGATGCATTTCTAGGGAATATATTTTCTAAAAGTACATGAATATATTGGAAAAGGGTTGAAAGCACACTTTTGGGTTTCATTTCCTACATCTGATTTCTTTGATTGTCAGAAAATCAACCAAACAGCGCCTGAGTTTAAGCCAAATTCCTTGTCAATGAAGCAATGAACAGAAAAGGGCTCCGTATAAAACCTATTACACCAGTTGGTCTGAAGGAGAACGTATACAAGCTAAAACTTTTGCAACTAAGGATAAAAAACGAGTGGGTCACTGCTGATCAGGCCCAATGATGCTAATTTTTGTTACTGCACAAATCAGTACTAATTAATATTAAATATTAGTAACCACAGTTGGAGAAGCAAGCTACCCAAACAATGTATTTCCAGATCAGTTGTAAGCAACCACAAATGCATCACTTTACGAACTACATATAGCTTCACAGATTGATTGGTATCATATGCAACTAATAATGAATAGATTACCATAAATTTAATAGCAACAAAGCAGTTTACATCAACATTGCACAAGCAAGAATAGATTCCAAAGTGCCATATTACCATTACAATTGTGCCTTGGTGTCAGCTATTGAGTTCTACTCCATATTGAGAAGGCTCCAGTCTCCACAAGAGTTTTCACTACCGTTCAACAACCAGACATCAAAAAATGTCAATCCACTGAGGGGCTCTTTGGTTAGGTGGAAATAGGTGGAAACCACTTTCTAGAAGTGGTTTCCATTTTTGATCCACTTTCTAGAAGTGGTTTCTTTTTCTTTTCTTTTTTCCCCCTTTTTAACCCCATCTGGTTAGATGCACTTCTACGGAATATACTTTCTAAAAGTACATGAAGTTATTGGTAAAGGGTTGGAAGCACACTTTTGGGTTTCGTTTCCTACAGTCTGGTTTCTTTGATTGTCAGGAAATCAACCAAACAGCCCCTGAGTTTAAGCCAAATTCCTTGTCAATGAAGCAACGAACAGAAAAGGGCTCCGTATAAAACCTATTACACCAGTTGGTCTGAAGGAGAATGTATACAGGCTAAAACTTTTGCAACAAGGATCAAAAACGTGTGGGTCACTGCTGATTGGGTCTTCTAAAAGTTCCAAGTTCAAGTAAGCTTCTGCACTATAAACGGATTTATTCAGGGAGTTTTTGACCCTGATATTCGTATACATCAACATGTTATAAAACTTCTTAAACTACAAATTGATTCAACAATTTATATCTTGGTTGGTGAAATTATCTTCATTAAACCATGTCAATATTGATTAGCCGAAATATAATTCAAGATAATTGTATTTGCAGTTAAAATCACTCAAATGCACCAAGAAAAGAGGCATACCTTTCAAATGAATCAGACCACCATGGATGCCTAAGCATCTCTCAAGGTCCAAATTTACCAAGTTAACTAAGCTTGCAAATGCTTTCATACCTTCTGCACTGATTGCAGTACTTTTCTTAAAACTCAAGGAGGTCAAATTTGAAAGACCTGATATGGGAAGAAAAAACATATTGAATGAAAACAACAATGCATACCAATGTTTAAAATAACGATAACGCATAACGTAACTCTCTACATGCTATTAAGGGTTAAAGAGAAAAAAATGCAAAAACATGAAACGCACAATGTAGGTTATTTGATTTAGTAATTATTTACATATTTTATAACTAGAAAACATTCATAGTAATTTTAATAATTAGAATCGTCAAAATTTTCAAACATAACATCACACATTCACAAATACCAAATTATACTCAAATACGTTAAATAACCATTCCAAAAGCATCAAATACATCAAGTTTGAAACAAATCATATAATTCCAAACAAATCAATTGGCAAATAGTAACTATCAATTCAATATCTCACAAATCATTTTATCCAATTTACAGTTCACAAAATATTTTCAGTCCTCAAAATGAGTCCTCAACACTAACAGCCCTAAAAGTAATGATAAATAACCAAATTTTAGAAGAAAACTGAAGAAAATACACTGTTACTAATCTCAGCCAGCAGCATAGGATCTCACCGGCATCATGGGATTCCCTGTCATCATCAAGAAGGGCTTGGAGTTCAATTAGGGTTTTGGTCTTCGTCTTCTACTTCGTCGTACACAGCTGAGGCAAAGTCTTGAGGTTCGAGTTTTGATTGGCGTCGATTGATTTCAGCGAGGAAATTGGAGGGAGCGTCAAGAGAAATAGGGGCACTGAAGGAAGTTGGGGGAGGTAGAGATCGTATGACTCATATCCTATCTAAAGGGATAGAGTTTTAATTGGGGTGAACGATTGGATTATATCCAACCTAAAATCCAACTGCTCAGATCGCAAGTCCATTTAACGCAACGTTACGTAACGCATTACATAGCCTGAATTTTTCCAAAAAATGCAACTTTAAGAACAGGGGCATTTTCTGATTGTGCTCAGCAATGATTAGGGGCTGTTATGTTACATAACGCATTATAACACGTTATGATTTATGTTTTTTTCAACATTGATGCATACTTTAGAAGACATGCCATAAGAGAAAAACAAGACTCGTTAAGTGGAGTACGCCTAGTAACAAAACAAACTATACTAAGAACCTGAAGTAAAGAAATGGTTAAGACTATTTGCTTCAAAATCATCCACAATTAGAATGAGTCAGTTTAGCATTTATTATATCCAATTAACCTAAAACTTCATCAAGAAAATTATGAAAAACTCCGTTTACTGGATAATTTCCCTATGCAAGAAAATTAATTGGACTATATCATTGAGAAAAAACCAACATAGGAGATGGAATCAAATTAGTTTCCAAGAGATGCCTACTCAAAACTGCAACTCGAAAAGCACTAAGGACATGCAGAAACCTTATCTGGAAGTCAAAACTTCAATATTCACACTGTATACTTGAAACAACATAGAACAAAGGCTTCATAAGTGCAGTGATCTCTAAGAAATACAATGCATCCTCTATAAAAATTATCTTGCCAAATTACATCCCTAGCATTTATGGAAAACTACAAAGAGGAAAAATATATAGGAAAGGTAAACTCCTGAATGGCAAACTTTATATATATCACAAAACTTTAATTTTGTATCATGGTTTGGTATTACAATAGGTCATACAAGTTTTGCAGATAACACCAGTGTTTTTAGCGCGCAAAGGAAGTATCAGGGTTATTGGTGCACAAGGCTATGCGAGTATTGGGAGCCTAAAAAATCAAGACGCAATGCAAGCATGCCAGACTAAAGCAAAAAAAGAACTTTTTTTTCTATTTTTGATAAATTTGTGATAGGGAATTACACTAATTTCAAATGGATTATATATAACAAAAAAGCACATGACATAAACGTCGCAGATTACAACCATACACCTTAATAGGAACCAAAGCCTGAAGAATTTTTTGGAATAATTTTAGCGAAATAAAGCTGTACATGTTAATATAATCTGGAATATACCGCTTGCAGACACATCTCACTATTCATTTAATTGAAATATAATTAGGTATGCACACTAATAGTTTCTCATGACTAATCTCCACATCTTATAAATGTATGATTTACATAACAGATTAATTTTACAAATAACTAAAACCTTATATCTAAGTAAACACCACACTTGCATACAATGCATCTAGTTTCATATTGAGACAAAAGTTTTGTGCAAATCTAGTGAAGAAACAATAAGTAACAGACAAAACTTATGCAGAAGAGAAAAGCAGATACTGAAATTGTCAGCACAAAATTGTTTCCACGAGGCTCACAGATACGTCAGTTAGGGGCAACGAATTTATACATAGCATCATAATTATCCAAAAGGAAGTAGAGCCTTGGCGCAATGGTAAGGGTTGTCGCTGTGAATCCTGGTGGTCACGGGTTTGAGTCATGGAAACAGTCTCTCGAACAAAAACGCAAAGGCTGAGGGCAATAAACTCATGTGGTCCAAACCCTTATCAGACTCCAAATAACGTGAGCTTCATGCACCACATTACCCCTTATCATTGTTGTCTAAAGGCCTCTTAAAAAATCTGAACACTGTAGGATCATTGATAGAGTTTAATACTATATTTTTGGAAACAACTTGGATGAATCAATTGCCGAAATCTGCACACTATGAGATCATTGATAGAGTTTAATACTATATTTTGGAAACAACTTCGATGACTCTAGTCTAGAGGGAAACCAATAAACTACCATATTCACAAATGGAACAAAAAAGTGATCCCAATGGATTTCAGCAGAAAAATAAAGAAGAAAACAGCAGAATGACTGCAGAAATTTACCACAGATGTTCCCCAGACCATCTTCTGAAATCTGATCACAGTAATCAAATTTCAAACTCTGCAGATTAGAACAGCCTTTGAGAAGAACCAACCCAGAATCCGTAACATCCGAACAAGAAATATCAAGTGACAACAAAGATTTCCCTTGAGAAGTAATAACATCCATCCAACTATCCTTTACACCTGGATATTCTCCCAAATAGAAATCCTGTTTTGTACCAGAATATTAAGAACTCAGACGCCGGTATTCATTTCCAATAACCAATAGAATAAACTTGTTAGCAACTTCATTATCATGTCACACATGAAACAGCATGTCATGTATCAGCTTTCGCTATTTACAAAGAAAAGATCTTCTCCCGTAAAAAATTTCATTAGATTCTGAAAAAGAGTATTATAATCCATACAAAGCTCACTAGGAAAGCACTAGGAAAGCAATGGAGAACCATCAACCATCATCTACCAAGAAGTATGTTAATTACGAAGGGACAACTACTATATGAATAATGCAGCGATAATAACTGATGCGGAGTCATAACAGACGATGAGTGAACACGTTGATTAATGAAACGACAGATAGCTTGTGGTTTAGACAACGCCTAAGAATTCACCAAAGTTTATAGGAGACGGAACTATGTGTGTGGTTCAGTAACTTGTTAACATGAACAACAGGACTCTTTGAAGGCAAACTATATCCATTTGCTAAAATAATAGCCTACTATGCAATCTAGACCATTTGATTATGATCCCATTAACCAAATAAATAGTAATATCCAAGGAACAAGCTGAAAGGCAAAATGTGACTTATAGCAGAACTGTCATCTTCATACAACAGGCAGGGTTCTAACTGTATGGGAGGATCACCTCAAGAGCACAGTCCCGAAAGGCATCAAGAGACGATTCACTAAGACAATGAGATTCCACCAATTCATTAAATATTTGTTGGCTTATGTCCTTTGGTAGCATAGAGAAGCTACTATAGTTCTTTATATCCTGCAGAAAAATGGTGAAGCCATGGCCAGGTACAAAGTCAGTGGTTATCGCAAATAGCAGAAAACAGACTAAGTCAGCGATAACTAATAGAAAAGGAAATCACCTCCCGGATTCTAGCTACACAAAGTTCAATAAGGGATGGGCACTTTCCTTGTCCCTTCAGAGTAACATCAGAGGCACATCGAGGAAGTGACAATAACAACCACTTAGAACTACCACTTTTTGAGTACCTTCCTGTGGCTCCTCTTCGAGAATCACCCTCATCCACCAGGTGGTCTCTCTTCCTTGAGCAAGCTCCCCCCATGGAGAATAATTATATTCCCAAATCCTTCAATGTATGATATATTTAAAAAATATTGACTCCCATTCTGATATATATTTGAAAACCAAAGCAGAGAATTGCTTTGTCTACTCCATCCTACAACAGATCAAATGACAGAATGAGTGCCCAGACTTTCCAACAGACCAGAGGAAAACAACATAAGTACATTTTACAGCTGAAGAAAGATGGTTAGCAGTTCAATCAGCTATGCATGTCAGAGATTTCAACAAAACGAGTAACCCACAGCTGTTATCACACAGCATTTTTCTAAAGAAAACGACAGCAAAAACAGAGGTCCCAAAAATTTCTCAATTTCTACATTTTAAATAACTCCGTTATAAAATACATTCATAGAATACTCTCATATCCTACATCAATGTAGCACTGTCCAAATTTCATTAATATATACTGTTGGCCTGCAAACCAAGCTTTAATTTTTGTGTAAAACTATGTTTGCAAATAATCTTTTCTGTGCATAGAACACATATCAAAATCACTTGTACAAGCCATGCTACAGCCATGATCATATAAGTGTTACCAACAAAATAACAGTTCTACCCATTTATATGGGGGGGGATTTTACAGAAGCAAACACGAACGATCGCATCATCAACATATTTAATCAATTTATTTGCGCTTATCACTCTCCCAAATCAAAACTAGCCTTCTGAAGATACCGATCATTCAAAAACTAAACAAACTAAACACAGATTGATCAAACTACACAAAAACACAGATAAAATGAACCGACAAAACCCTAGGCGACGATCGATCGATCGATCGATCAATCCGGGGCCGAAGTTTTACCTGACGGAGTCTAGAGAGAGGAAGAGAGACCGAACTCCAGGGTTTATAGAGGAAAGAGAGAGGCCGAAGCTACACGAAACGGGGTGAGAGAGGGAGAGAGAGAAAGGTAAAGCTGGAGTGAAGGCAAGGGCGGGCGGGC